CTCCATTGCGAGGCTATATCTGGTTGAAGTTCATCGCCCTACCTACATGTAAGTGAAATGGCGTTGGCTTTCTTTTACGTTATGTTATCTAAAATTCTTTCAGATTCACAATTTGAGGTTGGATAATTTCCATATTTCATTGATTTAAGTATTTTTCATTACCCTCCTGACGATTTCAGGTATGTTATTAAAAATCTCGTTAAGGAAGTGTTACATCTTCATTACTTTTAGGGGGGTCCATGTAGTAGATGAATTCTTGTACCGGTCAATCCTTGTACAGACGAATCCTTGTATGGTATAGTTTATAGTATATCCTTGCACATTCTTGTGTGCGGAGGACATTGACCTGGCATAATTTTGGGATTGGAGCTTTGTATTTTGTTCGCATCTAGTGTTTGAGGTCGTGGCTCTCTTCAAGAGCAACGCACCTGTATTTAACGTATGGGTAAACGAGCCGGCTACGAGTAAGCTATTTTGTTGGCCCTTCCGGCTCATATAATCGTTCCGAGCGTTGTAGCTTGGGGTTTGTTTTTGTGTTACAGAACTGGAACTTCGAAGGAGAGCTCTTTTTCGGAGAAGACAGCGTATGTGTTATTCCAGGTAAGATTTTTAATTTACTTGTACCCAGTGTTGCCTATATGAGTTGTTATTCGGGTTAACTTGATTCAATCTTTGAATCCATTGAAATCTTAACTACATTTTTGCTCGATCATTGTTGTAGGGGTCTGGTAACGTAATTATTAGGGAAGTGTTCATGAATTTATTTGGGGATTATTTTTGTCATTTGAAGTATTTGTTATTGTCGTATTGAAGATACATTTTATTTGCCGATCCTGCACCGTTTTTGCCAGGATTAATAAATCAGAATTGCTCGTAGTGAATTTATTATTTGGCTCTCTTGTGTTTTCCCAATTTCTATACAGGAGAGGTCAGAATTTGTGCAAAATTGGGTGGCGCTCAACTAATCATTTCTAGTGACTACCAAAGATCAAAAACTTATGTTATATGCCCAAACGAACAAACCGCTGTGGAAGATTCTCATCTCGAGCCCTTCTTTTAATTAAGAATCTGAGCTAGCTGGCCGTTTATGCGGCGGGGTTTGAGTTTTACAGCGCCGAACTAACCTCACGTTATAATTGGTTGTACAATCCAAACCGTGTACGTAAAGAAAAGCTTTTAGGGATTCCTTATAATGTAAGTATTTGATTACTATGATTATATCGATGATGTCGTGGCTTCGACCAGAATTCTCTCGCTGAATGCTGTGGTGGATTAGCTGACGGTCTCTCTGGCTCTCTCACTCTTCAAGATTCTGAGTACTGTTTCTGAAGCCATTTCATTGGTTGTCGTACCTATATATTTTCCTAGGTCATTCCTTCTTCTGATCTAAATATGGTTGTATTTTATAGTGAATGCACAGGAAATAAAATAAGTTAAGCTAAATAATTACGTTTTACACATTACTTTAAAAAGAGCACGTATAGATTTTGAAATTCTGTTGATGAATTTTACCATAGCAGCAACACCTCTTGGTTATTTACTCGGTTATTTATTACAAAGACACATCGTTGCGTGTCAATTTGGATATTATTAATTTAGAAAGATAAATTTATAGTCTTCTTAAAAAGTTTTTACAGCTATAAAAATGAAAATATAAAAGCACGTGTACCAAAATCTAATAAATATTTTCGTAAATGTTTCATATTTAAAACACCGATACTTGAATGTAAACCACTTGGTAAACCATTTTAAACTTTAAGAATCTATTAGTCATGCCAACATGAAGGTTTTCTTCTATAAATGTTATAGATAATTACTTCTTGCATTTTTTATCTAGGGTGGGTAAGTTTAGTTACTTACAATACTTTTAAAATGAATGTCCCAGTTATCTAAAATGACGGGTATATCCATGTAACACACTTTTAATACGTTCTGAAATATTCATCAATTATGGCCGTTGCGCACACCGTCCGTGCGGTTTTCAATTTTATTGGAATCTATTATAAGGATCCTTTTCAACCGTCAGCGGCAGTATTGCAATATTGTCCATGATACTCTTCAAAATTTGAATAGACCAGCATTCTCTTTATGCTGGAATTTTTAATAAATATATTTAAAGGAAAAGTGCTCTTAAATGCGGGGAATAAATAAAAGGTTTACAAATCGCATACTAAAATACCTTCCGTAAAAATTTCATCAAATAAACCCTGTAAATAAAGGAAAAAGTCTACGGCAGCAACTGAAAATTGGACAGTTTGCAGTATTAACAAATATGACGACGAAATATCATAAATATATTATTGTTATTTGTTGCAACTAACGAAGCAGCTGAGAGTTCGTTATACGTGTTGACGGTCCTGGCTGTATACTTTATTAGTTAATTTGCCGGTACGGTGGCCTGGATTAACTGTAATATACTTGCAAATTTATTATGAGCACACGACTAATCCCGAATATACACTTTGTTAACATATTATGTCACCGACCCCTGTTACGTTGCTAGGGATTTCTACGTTTAAGGTTCATTTGTATTTATTCTTTCATTGGTTTGACACATTTGGAGCAATTCAGTTTTCATGTTTTGGGTTCTTCCATGTTACCTAATGTAATCTTTGTTGCACACAAACTACGTCAACGCAAAAGGTTTGAGAAGAGTTTGAAACCTAAAAAAAAATTAGCCATGACGCCGACTTTAAGGGATGTGATATCAAATTCGAAACTTGTTTAAGTCCGAGTTGCTTGTGCCTGAGATATATTTTTGGGTAAAATTTAACTACCACTTCAGCGCGCTAACGCCAAAAAAATCCCTTTACGTGGTTTTACACACTATGAGCAACTCCTATGTGTACATAGGTGAATATCAATTCAATTGCATTTAATTAAGATTGTTTTTATGAAAAATTATTTTCAGGTGGACCACTTATTCTACAGGTGTACATTTGTCGCAAATATCCATCGGTATAGAGGATTTTTTCAAATGACTTGACTCGATTATGGTCCACCACATTATATGGGGTTCTCCACAATACACGCAGGAAAAGTAAGTACATATTGAAACTTCCTACACTTTCAATCATTCCATACATACGTTTTTTTCGCGTGAAATTTGCGCCTTTTTTATAAAAACATGAAAATACTTAGACATACTGGACATATGGAGTGCAATTCTGGTGATATGCCAAGCCCACTCGGATTAAGACAATACAACAGTTCCAATCCAAAATCCTCCGCGCTATGGTAAACGCACCATGGCATGTCTCAAACGAAACCCTACACTAGGATCTTGGCATTTCATTCGTCACTATCGAAATTCAAAGGCACGCCCAAAATTACCACGACAGACTTCAGAGTCGCAAGAATGATCTCGTAGGTAGACCAACTGTCAACTGCCCACCTACCTTTTACAAGATTAAGTAGGATCTGGCCTCATAACCTGCAAGCACTCTAATCTGAAAGAACGTCTATAGGAGTATTGCTAATGAGTGGTTCCTCCCAACAACGCTCATATAAGTTGGCGCATTTACTTAGTACTCCCTATAGAGTGGATTGTAAATTTACGGTTAATAAAAAAAAGTAAGGCAGGCATTCTACAGCCCTCCCCACTCATTTTTGGACTGGTCCTTAAGAGGTGGGGATTGGGGAGTGTTTGTTTATAATCGGGTGAAAGAAATACCTAAATCAACTGACCAGAAGCCATATCGCCGGTAATCTGAATCCAGGAGACTTGCCTTCAAGAGGATGCACCCCTTTCACTTTCTTGGGTCCAGAGAGTGGGAGGGTCCTGGGTACCAACCTTTTAATGGTTGGCCAGCCTCTGTCACCATTTATATTGAAGAAGAACTTGAAGTTGAAATAAAAAAATCGGCATGCAACTTTGGCATAAGCTCTGGAAGTCAGATGATGGTGCAATCGTGGTCTTCCCAACGCAAAACAAGAGAAAGGACCACTTTCTTTATCAAATCGTGAGATACGACGGGCGGAAGTGTACATGCTGAGGTCCCTTCAACAAGAAGCTTTCCCCGGTATAAAAATTGAAGGTGAAACGTGACCCACAAAGACTCATTCGCATGGAAACTTGACCATGGTGCAGAGAAGCTCTAATTCACGACTTTCATATGTATCATGGACACGGTGGAGGTAGCTTCATTCGTGAAAAGTTCAAAGAAAAGCACTGGATAATCAACTTTAAGAGGGCGGTGTTAAAAGTGATACGGAACTGCAAGACATGCCTTCGTCACAGTAGTAAACCTTTAAAAATGGATCCCGTTCCCTTATCAAAGGAAACGATATTCGATGGGGACCCGTTTACCACTACTGGAGTGGATCTTGCAGGGCCCATTTAATTGAAAGAAGGGAAAAACCTGGATGGTGTTGTTCACCTGTAAAGGTTATCGTTGTGCGCATACATTTGGATCTGGTATGCAGTCTGTCTACGGGTGCGAGCCTTGGAATAGTATATTACGCACCGAGTGCGAAAGTAGGTTATTTTTCGAAGAATTTTAATCACCCGAGGCGCGCAGCGCCGAGGGTGATTATATTCTAAGAAAAATAACCTTTCGTCGAGGTTCGTATACGATTTTATTCACGATCATCATTATAATCATTCCATTATCAAAAATAAAATAATTCACTAAATTTATACGTATTATATTCATCTTATGCGCCATCTGCAATATTATTGCCCTACATAAAATGTTGTCGGTAATACAGATTTGGAAATTTACCTAATTAATATTCATATTAATTTAACATGTATGTTAAAAAATGGCCCATACTAAAGAATTTCAATGTACATCCCCTCAAATAAGGGAAATTGAGTGTAGTAAAAAATTTACTCCCCGAATGAATTTTTGAAGTGAATGAACAATGGTGGGCAGGAAAGGGTATAGGTAAAACTTCATGTTTTACTTGCTTATTTTAATGAGGTAAAGGTAAAGAAATCATCCACATTATGAACGACCAAATAATGTTGTGATCCACATTCAAACCTAATGCGGTAGGTAATGCCTAATGACCATGTCAGTTTTATTATTCTAAAATGTACCTACAGCGATCTTTTGTGATTACAGATTTCGACTGGGTTACAATATTAGTATTATAATCTGTGCAGATGTCAATAACGAAAGATTTATTCTCCAGATCCAATCAGGTAGTCACTAAACACCTGTTCCAATACGATGGCCCTAAAAAATAGCACTATCTATTTCTAAAATGTGACAAATTACATTTAATTACCGGACATTGTTTTTGGCATATGATCGCTACAATATTAGCAAGTGCCAGTGGATTTCTTCAACTTAAAACAGTTCGGTGGCTGTAGATTGGCTGCAGTAGCAGGAGGTTTCGTCGCCAATTCAGTGGCCCATTCGCTTTACGGGCACGCGGAAATAACAAAGTATGGCAGTATCCTCTTCAGGTAGTGCTACGACGTCTCCGATATGCAACATTATGATGCCATAAATTGCCATCCCTTGCTCTTCTCATGGGTCGCAAGCGCAACCCAATGTTTCCATGTCTTATGGACAAGAATTGAACTTTTCCACGCAGAAATTTAAACAGTAATGGGCTCTCTAAAGTAACAATCAATTTCATTAAACTCAAGTTCGAGTTTTATACTTACCGATCCTTTAATAATTAACGGTTTCTTTTTGCTTTTGTTTTTACTTAACCATTTAGCACCGCGCTCGTTTAGTTTTAGGTTACGTGAAACAAACCATCATCTTCCGTAATCTGGCTAAAGTTAATCACGACTCCTACTTGTGTTTACTTCGGTCCGCATTTACTTATTTCACTTTTTCGCGTTTGGTCGTTCATTTGCAATTTACAAAAAAAGCACAGAACTTAAAATAATCCATATTACTCATAATAAGAATAAGAATTGTTTTTAAAATGCGGTTTTGAACAATTCGCATCTAAATCAGCTGTCATCTGTGTCAGACAGTTACGATGAGAGCGCCATCCATTAGGATATTAGCAACTAAATCGAGGTAGGTAATGAAATATTACTAACCTCGAATCGAACATTACTAACCTCGAGAATCTACTTTCCTCCCTCCTGGAAAAATAAGTGTTGTAAAACACAACTTCCTTATCCTTCAAAATGACAATTATGAGACTGATTACAATATGATCGTGAATAAAGGTTTATTTCTATACATTAATATATGGAAAGCCCAATACAATTTTCTCAGACAACGGAACAAATTTCATGGGAGCGGAGAATTTGTTTGATAGTGTCGACTGGGAAGAAGTGAAGAAAAAATGCGACATTCGACAAATACAATGAATCTTCATCCCATCTGCATCTCCTTGGTTTGGATGTTATTGGGAAAGATTAATTCGCTTCGGACCTCTTCAAGAGGATATTAGTAAAATCAAAACTGGATTATAACCAGATGATGACTTGACTGGCCAGCGTTGCTACCACCATAAATGGCCGACCTCTCACAGCGGTAGTTCATACTGAACCAGTAGTTTCAACAGTTTCAGAAACAAGAGTAATTAAAACACGTTTAGGAAGAATCGTGGCGAAGTAACAACGTTATGTCCTTCCAGAATAAAAAATAATTCCATTATATTGCGTTATTAACGAGCTCCTAGCGAGTTTATAATTTTGTTGTGTCTGTCCGTCCGTCCGTCCGTTAGCACGATAACTCATAAACGAATGGACCGATTACGATGAAATTTTGCAGGTGGATTCTTTATCAAATTTGTAGATCGGAGTTCGTGAATTGGCAATGTAGCCCAAAAAATAAAGTAGGCCCTTTTGACATCTCCGTTAGTTATGAACCGAATTGCATGAAATTCAATATGCGCATAGCTTTAGCCATATAAAACACAATTTCAAAAGTTGAACCTAATCGATCAGCATTCACAGTGCCCTTTGCGCATCTCGACCATTTACAGACCGAATTGCAAACTTTCTTATTTATGAAGGTATTTAAATGAAATTTGATACATAGCCACTTGGAATAAAACCAAATTTAACGCCAGTTTCAAAATTTGGTTTTGCGCATGCGCAGTGGCAACTTTCTTATTTATGGAGGGATTTAAATAAAATTTGATACGTAGGCATTTGAAATAAAACCAAATTTTACGCCAGTTTCAAAATTTCGTTTTGCGCATGCGCAGTGCCAACTTTCTGATTTATAGGGGGATTTAAATGAAATATGGTACATAACCACTTGGAATAAAAGCAAATTTAACGCCAGTTTCAAAACTTGGTTTTGCGCATGCGCAGTGCCAACTTTCTTATTTATGGAGGGATTTAAATAAAATTTGATACATAGCCACTTGGAATAAAAGTAAATTTAACGCCAGTTTCAAAATTTGGTTTTGCGCATGCGCAGTGCCAACTTCCTTATTTATGGAGGCAATTAAATAAAATTTGATATACATAGGCACTTGGAATAAAACCAAATTTTACGCCAGTTTCAAAATTTCGTTTTACGCATGCGCAGTGCCAACTTTCTGATTTATAGGGGGATTTAAATGAAATTTGGTACATAACCACTTGGAATAAAAGAAAATTTAACATCAGTTTCAAAATTTGGTTTTGCGCATGCGCAGCTTATTTATGGAGGCATTCAAATGAAATTTCATTCATATACATACACTTTAAATAAAAGCAAAACTAACATCAGGTTTAAAATTTGGTTTTGCACGTCATGCTATAGCCATACCCAGGAGCTCGTTTGCTATATTTGTTTAATTTATTTTATTTTATGTTTTAATTTGTTAAATGCCCAATCATAACTTAAATTCGTGTGGGACCGTTGTTTTCCATTTTGACGCGGTCAGGGGTTCGGAATGCTTCTTATGCAGACCAAGTGACATGTTAGGATCTCATTAATCGCGAATCCTGCCCTAAATGAACGATCCGTTTCATGATGTAGCGTTCTTATTCACCGTCAATGGCTACTGGGGACTACAGCACCCCACCCTCCAAGCGTTATTATGTTACTTGATAGGAAAAACACCTTATAAAAATAAATTAAACACATATCGTAAATTTTATTATTCCAGTCCCCCGCAAGGGCCACTTTAGCCTGCGACTCTGACACCGTCTTCGTGGTACACTTTTACAGTCTAACGGTTCTAACTGAAAAAAACGGGCTTTTATTGTATTGTGTCTATTCTCTTGACTTCTTTGTTTCATGTTTAATCTCTCACAACGCAATTGATAATTTACAACTGATACACATTCAAACGCCCTACGTGTCTAAGGGCCAATTGCACCGTCAAAATTAAGTATCCCTTAAAGTTAAACATAACTGAAATACCAGCAACGATTGTTTTAATAACCGTTGCCATCATGTTTAAGTTCGACTTAACTTTAAGCAATTTTGTTGGTGCAACTGGGGCTAAGTAAACCTAAAATACCTTTGGACGGGATTTCTTATAATTTCGATCTAACTTCAAGCAAGTTCGTAAGCCCTTGTTGCCCAAGCACCATTTTTCCGGAAAAATATATACTTAGAATCATCGACATTGTTATACTATAGGCATCTATAAACTGAACATTACGTTCTCAGAGCAGGTGCAGCGTATCGTTGAAGCCTTTTTAATTATTCAACGAACAACGCCCATTGCATCAACGGCCCGTAAAGAATGACCTAATCACGATTATATTCAGGAGCATGGAATTACAATTGCAAATGGAAACGATTGACAACATGTCAGCGGGTCACTAAGTCAGTGGCAGCGACGGTGATTTACGACTACGAGAGCGTGAGATGTGGCCATTAGCGGCCTCGGCTCTAAACGGCTCGTGTATGGGTAACGGGTAATTGGGGACATGCACCCACTGTTTGTTTAAGGAAACTGCTGGGCGTTTCGCACTTTAGCCTTGATTTACATTCAGTTTCATTTTGTTACAATTTAATTTTGTTCGCCCTTTTACGTCGCTAACCTTACAAAAAATAAATTATCCTCGCGCTCATTAAAGGGTAAATGGGAAATGCTTCGATTTAGAAAAGCAATTTAGGGGTGCAAACTTTCCGACGCTTTTACGGAATTCACAATAAAATTTGAATTTTGTTCTCTTGCGGTGATTGATCAGTACGAAATGAAGTTACTTATACAAACACACGCAGAAGTGTCGCTTAAGGTTTAAATACATAAACGCAAACTAACGATTGATCAACACCACAATTTTATAACAAGGGCGCAAGCGACTATGTCTTCCTTTCATAACCTGGCAGGCGTGATAACATCAGGTATTTTTGTCGTATCGTTAACCATTCCGTACATATAGTAAGTGTAAAGTAAAATGAAGATAATGTTTATATTTATAGTGTAGATGATAAACCTACAACTATTTATATACTACAGATACTCATGAATGTTGTAAATAAAATGAATACGCTGCACCAACAATAAAATTTTGTAGCATATTGTTTTGCTGGTGAACACGGGAACACATAAAGCAATTCTGATATACGGCTGTGGATGAAATGCTATACATATTCAAGGGGTATTAAGTGTAATGTGTGTTAGTGTACATTACGAAATGAAAACGTTTTAACAGTAGGCAGTAAATTTAATTAGGCTACAATCCTCAACATTTTGTTATGTGTATAGGTACATACATTCATTGTTTGCTAAATCAAAGTTTCCTTTCTAATATAACTCATGGGTTTGTAAAGCAAATGAATAAGTTAATTATGATTAGGTCAGTTAACGTGTGCTCTAAACAAAACAAATTGGAACATTTTCCAAAACCTCCCATATGTAACAAAGGGAAGAAATTGTGTCACAATCATTTATTATTATCTGAATTTGTAACGGAATACGACTGATTAGTCTTTTGTGTGCGGTTATCCGGCTTAGTTGTCTCAGTTCACGAACTGGATTATCATGGTGGCCATAATCCAGAATCGGATTTAGTGAACCGAAAACTTCTGCTTGCCTTTGATTCTTTCTGGCGCTCTTCCAAATTGAATGGTCTGCTTTTTTCTTGATCTAAATTCCGCAACTCATTTTCCAATAGCTTCCAATTGATCGGTACTTCTCGAAAGGTGGTAGTCATACAATGGACTATTAATATGTACCTAAGGAAAATAAGTAAGGGCACAAAGTTCTTATGATCAATAAGAAACTTATCAATGCGCAGTCTGCGCATGGGCACATTTGGTGTTTACAATATATGTGATACGCTTGTTTTTACTATAGCGCATTTGCACCTACAGCTGCAGTGTGGTGCTAATGGACATACAGTACATGCTTGCCAAACATATTAACAAACGTGACAATTCAGCACAAGGAGACTATGTTGTGTTTTAATACTTCAATTCAATCATATGTCACTTTGGCATCATTGCGGTGAGGAATAAGGATAGCGATATCGAAGAATCGTCAAGATTTTTCTTGGCTCTCAGATGCCAGAGCCAAAAAGCGCCCTTACTACAAATCGTATCTTGTTTTATTGTCTATTGGTGGAAAAAATAACAACTCGATACCGGTCCAAAATCTAAGTCTCGCATTCGCTTTTCTTCTGCCATTTCCCGTGTACTTAATCATCCTTTATTTAAACGTTTATTATTTTAATACATCAAGAAACAGTTTTTTATACTACCCTCCAGGTTTTTAATCGCTAAATCAGAATAAGTATTCTATTATTGCTTATTGATTTGATATAAACACAGTTGCTTAGAAACATTGTAACTCTTGCAAAATGTGCGTGTAATAATATGGCAGTGATTAAATATAATGTCCGGTACTCTGTTCACGTAACATTACAATCGGCTCGTTACGTATAATGACGATGTTATTGAATATCCGTTTGAAAGAATTTGCTTTGAGATTTTCTCTTTACTTGGAAAGAGAAAATATTAATATGTGCACTACATGCAATGCGGATATGTCATATTTTTGTTTACAGG